GAGAACGGGTTTCAAACAGGCTGTAGATCTAATCGACTAAGAGCACTGCGACATTTTTCAAAACCACATCCCATCATCTCGACGGTTGCGAACCACCAATGCCATCAGCGCTGCCGCTAACCACCATACCATTAGCATCGCCACTCGCGCACGTCAACGACTGTGAACGGGTATCGAAAGATCGAAGGTTTTGGGGATGGTTGGGTTCGGAAGATCGAAGGTGCGCTGCGGAGGTGAAATTGGAGTTTCGTGGTTTAGGGTTGCCGAAGCGACCTGTGATGGAGGTGGTGGTGTCGCCGGATAGGTGGTGCCGGTGCCGTGGGGCTATGTGGTGGCGACGGGGATAGAGAGAGAGGAGAGAAAATGGGGGATGATGTAATTAGGGTTTGGATAATTATGATTTAGAGAGACAAGATAGATGAAATAGATGAATTAATATATGACATTTGAAATAAAAATTATAATATCTGAAATTAGAAATATAATCTTCAAATTTTGTGTAATTTCCACAAAAATCATTTCAAAATGGATTCTATCTAAAAAACTGGTTTCAAACAGGCCTTATAGCCCGGTCAAACGTACCCATGAAAATCTCCATTTTGTTTTTATTTATTTCCATTCACTACTGTTATGGAAGGACATCCACGTTGCACGTTCCCGCCTTTTCCGTCAATTTCTTTGATCCCAAAAAAAAAAAAAAAATTTAAAAAGTGAAACTTGAATGCTTAAACACTGGTTTTTAACATTATAACAATAGATGATATGATTTCTCATTTGCACGTTTGTAACGGAATTCAACGAACAAACAATTATCCACAATTTTTTTGCGTAAGGTAATCTTCTTTCCGAATTCATTTTGCTTGTTTGTTCCATCTTTAATCCTCCCAACTGTTTTTATTGAATAAATTTGGTCGCAATTCAATCGTATTGCGATTTGAATGCCTGAAGATCATTTCGCGTTTCCCGTGTGTGAGGGTACAGTCTTCCAATTTTATATTGAATCGTACCTGATCGGTGTATATTGGAATGCATATTGAATTTTTAAGTAATCTGTAGACGTGTTAATGGGTATTAGGAATAAATCTAACGCACGATAATATTTATTTATTGAGTTTGGGAATTGCTTGTTTCTCATTTCTGTCTCCTTGGGACTTTTAAGCCTTTAATTTTTGGTATCTGATGCTGGTGTTGGTGGGCCTTGGAATGTTAGGGTATTGAGCGTTAACTTTTCGAATCTTAACTTCAGGGAGACAGAACTTATAGAAAAAGGAAAAATTATGACATAAAAGTTAACTAAAAATACCCCCTGCCCCCTGGGAACTTTTTGTATACTGTGATTGTAAGGAAAGTATAATAATCATGCGCTTCAAGTGACTACTATCTATTCCTTGTGTAAACTCTAGTTTACGTACATTTCTAAAATTTTCCCTGATTGTTATCCAAGATCTTGAATGTGTTTTTGTAAATGTAGTGTTGCAAAGTAGACTATTTAGGATATAATAGTATATTCTACCACATTTAGTCCTTGTTTGACAACCATTATTTCAAAACTCTTTTTTCTACGTACTCATTTCCAACCACACATTCATGTAATAAAATATTCTACAAGCAAACCAAAATTTTTCCCTACTTTTTAACTACACATTCTCCATAATAATTACTATTCAAAAACTCATTCTTTGCAAAAAAAAA